GCACATGTTGCTAATCACCCTGCTCAGGGCACAGGGCGGGGAGGGGGTGTTCTCTCCCCAGGACACCCTCCTGCGCCCGGGGCTCTGCTGTCTCAGCCGACCTTCCTTTTCCCTAAGAAGTGGCCTGGTTTTGCAGCTGTGTGGCTCCCTCAGCCTGCTTCCTGCTGGTCTTAGTTTGAGGGTCAGAGGCCTCTTTCCATTTTAGACTTGCGCTGCGCCTTTTAGTCCAACAGAATACAATTCCTTTAAAACCCTTGTGGGTGTCCTTTGTATCAAATGGTAATTTATTCCATTAGACAAAAGCCAACCCACAGGTCCTTGTCTCTGGTCCACACATGCTCTCTAATTGGAAGGGTCCGTGAGGCCGTGCCTTAAATCTTTGAGTTCTCAAGACGAGGGTCCAAATGCTGCAACCTTGCTGGGTCCTCATTCTGAGATCACATCTCCTGGCATCCCCTGGATTGGATCTTTGTTCTGAGGCCAGTTCTTACCCTGAGTTTTCTGCTGGCAGGAGAAGCTGGGAATGAGAAACGATTTTTCTTATGTTGGTGTTTAAACTGGGAATATTTTCTCTAATTCTGCTGAAAAGCTGAACATCCCTGATTCCCCCCCACCCCCCACCCCCCACCCCTTAAGAGCCAGTAGCACGGTGAGCGTTCTGCTCGGAAATCTCCTCTCCCGGGCTCCCCAGGCCAGCCGGCTGTGCCTCACGTTCCTGCAGACAGCAGGTCGGCTGATGGCTCTGCCCTTGCTCCGCTGGGGCGCCCTTTGTCCAAACCCAGGTAGCGTCTTCCTCCCTGTCCTTCTTGCCTCCTTCAACAGCTGTTCAGGTCCTGCAGCCTCAGCCAGCTGCCTGGTGCCAAGCCAGTGGCACGGGTCTGCGGATTTTATTACTGCAGCATAGGGTGCTAATTCTGAGTTTCTTATCTGTCACTGCCTTGAGGATCTATCTACTTAATCTACTTAGTGATTTCAGAAAACAGTCACTGTTTCTCGTGCTTCGGTGGCTCAGGACCACAGACAGAGCACAGCATGGCTTCTCGCTCAGACCTCCCCAAAGCACAGAAGCTGCCAAATCTTAACATTTAAACTCCATGTAGATAGCATCCCTTCCACTGCTTCTGTTGGTTCAAGTGAGCCAGAGGCATCTCCAAGTCCGTGTGCGATGATTTCCACGGGGGCACGAATCCCTAGAGGCGGGGTGCACGGGCAGCCATCCCTGGGGACCAGCTGCCGTGCTGGCTGTGTGGGGGAAGTTACGTAAACTCTCGGTGCCTCAGTGGCCTCACCTGCAAAATGGGGATAATCGTAGTAACTGCTTACGTTGGGTTGTGAGCTCTCTGTGGGTTAATAGTTGTAAGGCTCTTAGAGCAGTGAGCCCAATACTGTTTTGAAACGGAAAATTTTTAAAAAATAGATGCATAAGCCACTTATGAGTTAAATAAAACCCTAACCACAGTGATGTCCACACTGTGGTAGCTGGTCAGTGAGAAGCGGTCTGAAGCGAGAGATTGTTTTCGTGTGTACAGAGGTGGTATCTGAAAGATAGACAAAGTATGCGTTGTGACATCCACCCTCACAGTTTCGCCCTGGGTAACACAGAATCAAAGAGACTTAGGATCATAAGGCCCATTTGCACCCGCTGACGGGAACTGCCCGCCCATGTGTGTCTCTGGCAGGGAGCCTTCCGGCCTCTCTCATCCTCTGGCAAGCGGGACCATGACTTCATGGCCTTTAAAAGCTGAAAATGAACTGTTTCCAGATTTTCCATTTTCTTGGTCCTTAAGTAGACAGTGTGTAAGTTCGGGATGGCAGAAGCATCGTAGATGAAGTCCGAGGGGCTCAGCCTGATGCAGCGAGGGGCTGCCAGGACACTAGGCTTCTCATGGCACTGATAGAAGTCTGTCCCAAAGGGGCACAGTGGGTTTTCTCTCCTTCTTGAGCATGTTGGGGGACTCTGTTCAGAGGGGGGCCCCACCGTGGCAGAGCAATTGGGACCTTGTACTTCTGGAAGAGTCTGGGACTAAGAAGGGGCTCCTGATATGTAACCACGTGGTGGGATGTCTCACTGGGGCTTTGTGGTAGCTCCTCGGTTCCTCCCAATGAGGGCACATTAGAGGGGGCCTCCTCTCTCCGTGTGGCTCCAGAATTACGACCCAGGCTCATCCTCACCCCTCTGGCAGCAGACCACTGCTCCCGCAGCTCCAGCTGTCCAGACCCAGGGGCTCCCTGGCATATGGCTGCCCAGGCAGGACTAGGTGACTCTGGGCACGAATCGTGAAAAAATGCTAGTCTAGCAGAGTCGGGACTGAGTGGTTTAAGCTCTGGGGTCTTTTTATTTTTTTTTTAAAGATTTTATTTATTTATTCATGAGAGACAGAGAGAGAGGCAGAAGCAGAGGGAGAAACAGACACCCACTGAGCAGGGAGCTGGACGCGGGACTCGATCCCAGGACCCTGGGGTCGTGACCTGAGCTGAAGGCAGACGCTTAACCGACTGAGCCACCCAGGCATCCCCTGGGTTCTTTTTAGACTCTCAAACCCCCTGGTTCTCACTTGGTACAAACACTCTGAAAAAAAATCAGTTTTTTGAATGAACTTCAGCAAAAAAAGAAAAAGAAACTAAAAGAGAACACGTTTTTAATCCGCAGAAGCTGTTTGCTGAGTCTTGTCATTTGTCATCTGATTGAGCGTCTGATTACAGAACTTCACCTCGTGGCTGCTTCGGCTTCTCATTGGGGCTCATGCGTCTCTTCACGATGCCTCTGAGGATATGGGCTCTTTTATCAGTCACGGAGCGGCGGGTGCAGCTGGCGGGCCCTAACTTGGGTGCCGCGCCAAGGCGGGGAGCAGGGCAGCCGAGCGGCTCCATCGGCACAGAAATCTTGGGTGGTTGGGTAATGAACCCAGCGGGGACCCGGGCCAGAGAGCAGAGGCATGGCTCCTAGGACGCCGGGGTGTTCTTCAGCCCTGCTGACTTGTACAGCATTTGAATCATAATCAGAGATTATCCTGCAAGGTGAACCATAGACTTTATTTAAGATTGTCAAGATTTGGACATTCAGTTTTCCCAGCACCAAGATAAGTCAGCCTATTTCAGTTCCCCGACAATGTCATCTCCTCTCGTTGCCTCCTGGTTGGACTGTTTCCCTCTATCTCCTTAGGAGTGAGTCCTGACAGCCCCCACTGGGGAGAGGATAATTGTGCATATGGGATTTGCTTGTGAAAGTACCCACAGTCTAGCCAGGAGCTGTGTAGGGCCAACTGCATGGAGCCCCAGGGCTGGGTGAGGGTGCAGCCTGCATTTTTGTCTGAGTGCAGACGGACAAAGCTTTCTGAGGCCTGGAGCAGCTCTCAGCTACCGGTGACACCAAGGTGACCCCTGGCCCCTGGGTATTGTTGGAATTCCATCTGAAATGGATGGTGGAAAATGAGCCCACAGGAGAACATCTGTGAAGTTTTGTTAAGCTAAGTTTAAAAATCTTAGAAATCTGCCAGAGAGGGAAATGTTACGATTTTAAGTGATCACTTATTTACTGTTGAATCACCAGCAGTGACGGCCCCTCTCCCTAGTTCTTACTCTGCAGGGGGACCTCAGATCACCTGGGTTTGTAACCAGCATTTTCCTCTGGGCCTGCCTGACTCTGTTGGTCTCCGTGCCATATTTGGTTTAGATTGTTTTTTCTTAGGTTCTCAGAAATCAAGGTATGTTGAGTAATGGCCGTGTGTTTTCTTCGTGTAATAAGAACATGCAAAGGGATGACCTTCCAAAGGTTCACTTGTGAGTTTCTTCAACCTTAGAAATATTTTCCCCCAGAAACGTTTCAGGGGTTGAGTCAGGCTTCCCAGCTGGCTCGTCATCCGTTATATGCGTGAAAATTGGTGTAGAAAGCAGTATTGTCATGGTATTTGGAACTTGAACCTAATTATCCCCAAAGTGCTTCCTTTCTCTTAGCTCGTGTTGTGGTTCCTGGGGGACAGCAGAATTAGGAGTTCAGACGAAGCTCTACAAGTTCACGAGGACACACACGGGCACCTCTGCTTCTGTAACACTCTTTCTCACACTCAGAACTTAGCTCGGCCTCGGCCCGGGTGCACTAACTAGCGTGCATTCTTCTTGTGCCTTCTCAGTCATCCTTACCATCCTGTGAGTTTCTAAACGGGCAGTGAGAGGAAGAACAAGAACAGGCCAGGAGATGCTTTGCTTCCCCTTGTTTCCTGAGGGCGTGGAGCCTCCCCCCACCCTCCAGGGAAGGAAAACCCCAAGTCAAGGCTGAGCTCAGTGCCGGCCATGGATTTCCACCCCAGGAAAGCAAGGAGGCGATGTGGGAGGTTTGCTGGGAATGAGTAGTTCAAGCAGGAGTAAGCTCCCACCCGGTGTCAAGGGAAGCCGGGGTCCAACGTGCTCAAGCGAGCTGGTTTCAAATGCTGAGTGGTTTTCAAGAAGCCCCAACACGGTTCCATTGAAGATGGGTCACATTATCCACGATTTGTCTGTTAGATGCTGTTACTAAATTTACAAATGGAATTTCACGTTCAGTAAATTAAAAATCCGGAATGAAAAACTGTGAAGCAAAATGCTCTTATTTGTAAATACCAGGAGTTTCAGTGTTCCGTTAATGAGTGGTTTTTAGAAAAGGAAATTTAGGTTTCCTTTATTAAAGCGTCATACCTTTAGTTCCAGGTGCTTGCTCAGTTAAAGGAAAGGTACGTGGCGCGTCATGGAGGCTGGTGTATTGCATTTGTCGAACCAACAGCACATCGTTCAGTCCAAACACACACACACGGAAATTGGTTGAATGTATACGTTATGCATAAAATAGAAGAGAAAAGCCGAATTACCAAGCTAAAAACAAGTGTGATTTCCATTTTACAATGACAAGAGAAAAATGAACGTTTAAAATTTCTTGAATTACCTATGTGCCTACTTTTTAAGAAAACTTATGGCAGGCTTTATAATTTGTATTTACGAATGAATATGTGGCTCCTTTTCCCTCCTAGGGCATGCTGCTGAAGCGGAGCGGCAAATCGCTGAACAAGGAGTGGAAAAAGAAATACGTCACCCTGTGTGACAATGGCGTGCTGACGTACCACCCAAGTTTACATGTGAGTGTGGCCCCGTACACAGGTGACAGGCCCGGAGCTCAGCTCCCACGCTGTGTGTGGCGGGGGTGGGGGTCCTAAGAGCATCAGGCCTCTCGTCTCTGAGGTTAAAGTAGTCTTGGGTCTCCTCCATCACGAGATAAATCATTCGCCCCTCACTCTCCGTCAGACCACGTGTCTCTCCCTTCCCCTCCCTGACACCCATTTCTGGTTCTCTAATTCTGCAAGGACTTACAATAAAGGGAACAGATGAAGTAAAATTTTCAATGAAAGTAAAAAGACAAGAGCAGGTAGCAAAAGAAAAAGAAAGTGATCATATACCTGAGAATCTAGAACAAAATCTGAACAATTACATCAGAACCCAGGACTCCGCTCTGAGCAGCTGAGACAAACAGGAAAGTTAAAAGCAGTTGGTGACTCAGCTTTTATTGTCAGATAAGAACACAAATCGTTCGTAAGGTAAGAGAAGCTTCTCTGCATGTGTTCATAAAATGAGATATATTGGTGATTTATAGAAGGTAGATTTAAGAGCGGAATTAATTTTATTTTGGGGGAAAATGCAGACATTGTACCCATCGTGAGTTGTCTTAGGAAGTAAAATCTGAAAATGGGGTGTTAATGACAGTTCTCTAACAACACATTCCATGGATCTTGCTTGATATTTATTGGTCTTGATGTACATAAAGGTACAGATTAGAATATATAGTGTTAGCTGCTCATCTGATTGTATCACTGTGGTAAGCTTTTAACTTAAAGATGTTTAAGTACTTTAAAAATTACAGTTAGGAACAAGAAGTTACACATAAGGATATTGAAGAAAAATCATTCCCACAGGACCACCTGTGGAACAGGACTGATAGCATTTTGGGGTGTGTGCTCCCAGCCATTTCTGAGAGTAGGTGCTTTTTCCTCCCACGAGCACGGGGTCAGCCCGTTCTCGCTGTCTGTGCCCACTTCCCTAGATGATGACAGGTCACATGCACCTGCCCGTGCCCAAGAATATGCTTGTGCGCCGCCATTGTTAATGGTTATGTAACACTCATCGTGCAGATATGCCCTGATTGGTGTAACAGTGTCTCCAAAATGGACGTTTCTCAAATAAATTTACTTTGAATTATTTTTAATGTTTTAAGTCACTAATCAGTGTCCTCTGTTGACATCCCTGTGCCCTCCTCCATTTCCCTGGGACTGATTCCTAGCAGTCGCTTCCGGAGTTGAAGAGTGCTTGTGCGCTCATGGCTTTGGATATATTTGCCGGATTCCTGAAAAGAGTGTATCGGTTTTTATCCGCCGGCAACATGCCAGAGGGCTTACACCTTCATTCCCATGAGCATTCACCTTCAGAGTAACGTATCTATCATTTTCCAATATAACAGGTAACAAGTGGTATCATTACTGTTTCATTTGCTTCCTGGGGCGAATTGCCCTTCTTCTCTGCGTCCTGCAGCGATGGCCTTCCCCTTCAGAACCGTGTTACAACACAAGTGTTTCATTAGGCATCCCTGACTTGTTTCTGATGTTGATGGGAATGCCTCCCATGCTTTACCAGGAAGTAGACTTCTGCGATGTCAGTTGTACAGTGTACTGAGAAAACTTCTCTGTGCTTGGTTTATTTTGGCTGACTTGGGAATAGAGTCAGGTTGCTTCTCCAGGAGGCCTGCCTGTGGATGTTCCCACGTCATCTGCAGCCACGGACAGCCTCCATCAGGACGCCGAAGCAGGGCTGGCTCTCCGGTGGGTTCTCTCCCCAGCCCTGCCCCATCAGCTGCCCTCTTGCTGGCTCACATCCTCTTAAAACCACGTCAGGGAACACGGGTCGGATTATTGACCCCATTGCTTTGTGTTGTGTAGAGAGAGGTTGTTTAGAGAGAGAAGTGTAATCAATACTCTTCTTGCTAGGACTCACTGACCAGGAAAAAATGGGGTCCAACTGATGAGCATTTCGGACCACCTTACACTCTCCTGGTAAGCCCAGGCTTGATCGGAGAGACGTCTGCTGTTTCTTGCCAAGGGGAAAAGGTGTGACATCAGTATGTCCCAGAAAGTTCCCATAGGAGGGGTAATGCCACTTACTTCCCATCCCAGCCCCTCAATTAATAGAATCACAGTCAGTTTTTCGAAAATTCTCCCACATGGGCTTCTTCTTGTGATGCCCCTCAGTGCTTGCCAGTTCCTTTACACACACACACACACACGTATGCATGGATATTGTTTGAGTACACAAAAGGAGCACAGCAGGGCTTTGCTATATAATTATATAGCAGGCAAGAGCCAATATCATTTTAAAGTGCTTTTCAATGAATGACAGTCTCTTATTGATGCAGGTATACCCCTCCCTAAAGGAGTGGTGTAATGTAGGGATGGATTTTAATTACTAGAGCACGGAGAGATGGCATGGCCTTCACTGTAATCCTCCTTTGACTTTATTTCCACAACCAAGCTTTGGATGAAAGTTTGGAGAAGAAGTGAGTTCCAGGTATGTGTTCTCTTCCAAGATGATAGAGAGCTACAGATCCCTAACCTCGGAGTTAGTCTGGCATTCTTTGGCTCAAAATGGGAAGACACGTCAAAGGGATGCCCATGGGCAGAGTGCAGACTTATCTTAGTACAAATTCGGGAGCATACAAATGTGTTGTAAATTCAAGCCTTAAAATTCTATACCATGAAGAATGTTCCAATTATTTTAGTCCAGGAAATTTCAAAAGATGGTAGAACCCAATGATATCAGTTAGACTGATTGCCCTGTGACGCCCACTTTCTTGATGGTCTCCAGGCTGTGTTATGGCTGGAAGCCCACGAGCGTGCGTTGGTTGTGAGTGCTTAATTATTGGGGAAATCTGCCCAGATTGGTGGCTTTGGGTTTCATTACTGTTGGCCATCACTGTTAATGGCCATCTGCGCTGATCTGAAATAGCATAGCCTACAGCTCATGTCTCTCCAGGGAGCGAAGGGAAAGAATCTGGCTAAATAATCTGATATCTGTAGATAGAGTGTTCCACAAAGACTAAGTGTTTCTCAGTAGTGGAGTAACTGGGCCAGCTGTGGTGCCTACCACTAACTTTCGATGACTAGGTAATGTATTTACCAAAAAGGAACCTGGCGTGCTTTTCTGAGGATGGGAGTCTAACAACAGTGCTTCTATATCGGGGTGAGTGGTGGGGGATTGAGAGCGCCGGGCTTGAGAAGGCATGAACCATGTAGGATTGGAACGGACACTAGGCAGAGCTGTGCGGCGGCCCCTTTCCAAACCAGCATGTTGCTGTTTGGACCTTGTCATGAGCGCAAACGTGAGTTTCTTGGGCACGTGTGGGCTGCTCACAGTCCCGCTGAGGCTGGACCCAGACTCCACCAGCAGCCACCTTCAGCTTGGGGATCGTGCTGAACCCAGGGAGCTGGGCCCAGTTCTTGCACACAGGGCAGAGTAAGAGATCGAATCAAGTTCAGAGGGAAATAGGCTGGCATGGCGAGGGCCCTTAGTCATTTCGTTCAAAGTTGAGATTGCCTCGGCGTATCGGCCACTGGAGTGTGGCCAGCATTGGAGGGCACGGTTCGTGGGGCTGCTCCAGATGCCTCCAGTGTTCATTAGCCGAATTAGGTTTCCCGGCTGAGCGCCCCAGCCAGTGCTCCTGGACAGGCCGACAGGCCAGGCCAAGAGGGTATCGGGACAGGTACAGAGCGTGCCGCCCCCGCCAGCCTCTCCCTTTCCCACTCCTGCCAGATCGATGCCTTGGCTCCTGCAGCCCCTGGGCACTGCAGTCTCCTGAGACCTTTGCTTGGAAAAGATGCTGGAGCACCAACAGACTCCGGCATTAGCTTACTTTGGACACTGTGGAAGCAGGAGATGGACCGTTTCCTAAATTTGCCACACATAAAAAAAAAAAAATCTTGGAAGTTTTTAAATGTCTCCATTGGATACGTTTAAAGTAAAGAAGATCTCCCAGAAGAGTTGAGTTGTGATCCTTGAGAAACCAGTACGGTTTCCTTATTACACAGGTGTCCGTGGACATGTTTATGTAAACAGTCATCCTGCAGACACGAACCCCAAGTTTCAAGCCCTAGCATAAGCTTTGTGCACTTTGCTGTGGCGGAAAGCAGCCTCTTCACAACCCAGACCATCGGTGTGTGGCCCCGGCTGCAGGCCGGGCTCCCGGGCTCCCAGCGGAGGGCCACGTGCTTTGAAACGGTGGCTTCGGAAGCAGGCTGCCGGGCATGAGCTGGGGGACCCGGCTCCGCAGCATGCGATGGAGTTGGCATGAGGCTGGCAAGCTCGCCGTGTGCTTGGGATGGGTCGGCTGCCAGGGATGCTCCCCGAAGTTGGTCTCCGAGGACAGCCCGCCTGTCTCAGAACTCACTTCTGCAGGCCAGGGAGCTCTGCTGGGTGGTAGCCCCAGGATGTCACTTCCCACTGGGCTCCTTGCTTCCGATCCCTCTTCCTTCCTTCCCACCCTTTCCCAGCCCCATCTTCTTCCAAGGCTTCATTCTTCCCAGTTTGGTGGCCTCATCCCCAGCAGGGTCTGTGGTTCCTCCTGAGCCCCAAGCGCACGCACAGATGAATTAGACCAGCCGTCCTCGGTCGCTGTGACAACTCAGCCTGGCCTCGCTCCGTCGTCTGTAGAGTGCAGGCTTTCTCCGCGCCAGAGGGAAGTTGTGGAAGGAAGCCTCTCACCCCAGCCATGTTTCCTGCTGTTGGAAACCTTACACATTTTTCTCACGGAGGAGAGAACGTCTGTCTCTAAGCCTGGGATGGAGTGGCCCATGCGTGACCAGATCACAGGAGGTGATGGTCTCTCTGGGAACCAGGAGGAAAGAGGGAAAAGACTGACCACCGTAACCCAGACTGAGAAAGTTTCCTGAACGTTGGTGGTGGTGGTGCCTCCCAACCCCGGATGTGCTCACTCTGCGCAACTCATCCGCTTCAGCTGGTCCCCGGGGGCTCGGGGGCCGCCAGCAGGGCCGGCCTCCGGCGGACGGGTCCCCCCACTGTGGGGGGAGCAGGAGGAAGC